TAACACAGAATACACTTCTCAGATATAAGAGTTCTTCATTACATCAAAGAAAAACTTGTGGTATTGCATACTGCAAAAAGTATTTACACTAAAATAAAGCTTTGCACCGGCTTAAGCCTACTTTGTTACTATAGTAAAGATAAGATAATAACTTTATTTAAATAAAATATTACAATGTGCGTAACCAAATAATAGTAACAATAAACGAAAAACAACTTTTAATTTACAAATGATTTTGACATAAGTCTGTAGTTTACTTTGGATTTACAGAGGTTGAATAGGTTATATTAAAACGATTTTGAAGCCTGACAACATCGTTACAGTCCATGTCCAGTCATGCTCTACCTGAAGGTCGTGCATCCTGACAAAAGAACAATTTCCATAGGTCCTGTGTCCAACGATGATTGGTATGAATACCTGTTTCATTCTCCGGCTACTTCAGGTACGCGAAGATTGAACGCATATGCCGGGGAAGCAACTTGAGTACAAGCGACTTTTGTCACTTTTCCTTCTTGATTATGTTCTGTACAGTTTTCTAGGGAACGTGGATGGCTTTTGTCATCGACCTTTGTGTTCTTGTTAAAAGACACGGCATGTTGCTTTCCACGATTGGGGTGCAACTTGTTGCAAGTCTCTTTTTGGGTGTTCCTGGTTACCAAACTGATCCATATTCTTTTGTTTTCCAATGCAATAAGTAAAAATATATAATATCCCTATTTTACATATTTCAAATCCTCAGGCTGAACACATCTTTATGATCTGAGTGTATAAGAATTTTGAGTCGGAAAGAACTGTTACATACCTTTCCCAAAAGCAAACAATGTTTGGTGGCATATCACTGTCAATGAAATACCAAACAATGTCAAAATGTAGTTCTGATCTATATTGTTCCACTGCAAATGTATATCAACTGCGTTTATTAGGTGGCTTTTTTGGTTTGTATATTCAAAAATATTTATTTGTAACATACTCAACCCTTTGAAAATGACAGAAAAATTGTATTTTCGTAGATAAAAATCTCAATTTTATCCAGTTTCTCTGGTGTTATAGAAATTAGTCAAAACGTTCATCTTTTTATGTTTATCATAATTTTACAAGTATTTTGGATAATAATGAAAATTTCTGAACACAAGAAAACAAAAATGACAAAATGATTGTTTTCTTTGTCTCTTGCAAATCATAACAAGGACAAAATCAAGTCTAAAAAGATGTCATAAAACTGTACAGTTTGAAAAAACAATCTCTGGAATTAATCTTATGGATGATGAATTATAAGATGATAAATTCGTTTGATAATTTATTCAAATAATGGTGATTAAATTACAAAAAATTATCATTTGAGTACAGTATCTTGCTGTAAATGGTGTATTCTACCATTAATTATTTGATAATATTTTAAACCTGATGCTCTATTGTACTATAAGCAAATATTAATTTATATAGACATATGCATACTTAGTTTAACCAATATTGTGTTTTTTTTGGGGGATAGTGTGTTACATGATTTTTCAAAGTTTAAAAATTTTAGTACCAATTCTATTGGAAATATAATTTATTTCATATCAACTAAGCATTTTTGACAAACGTCATATTTTGAGTAACTAATGGTTATATCTTTTAAAACATTTCAAGCATTTGTTATAAACAGAACACACACACACACATACATATATATTCGTTTATTAAACAATATCTCTCATATACTTTATACAAACACATGTTAAAAGCAATCACACCAACAGCTTATGATTCAATAAAGAATTATGCTTGTTTGTTTATTTGAAGTTAAGCACAAAGCTTTACAATGGGCTATCTATGCTCTGCCCACTGTGGGTATCGAAACCCCATCTCTAGTGTCGTAAATCCACAGACATACCACTATGCCACTGTGGGGGGGGGGGGTAAAAAATTCTGTAAAAACAGTATAAACAAAATATAAAAACTATCTATCACTTTGTAAAATTTTATTAAGAAATACAACTCCATAATATAATAATTTCTAAAAAGAAAATAAAGTTATTAATTTAGAAATTGTTTTCTGAAAAATAACAGCATTTGTAACATTGGATATATATTGAATTTGTACAAGAAACATTTTTTATTTTCTAAAAGGTTAATTTAAAATGTGGTTCAACTAAAACCATTATTTTAAACATTAAAAATGGAAACATTAAATTCTTGTTTAAAAAGGAATATTTTATAATGAAGATAGTATGCTGAAAATTAATTGTTCTGTACCAAGTCCTAAACTACCCTTGGAACTACCAGTTCCATCTATGATTGTTATCAGTATAATGGTTACCCAATATTGCTTAACATTAAAACTTAATATTGCCTAACTTAAAACTTCCATAGTAATGCACTTTACCTTTCACCACATATCTAAACAAACTTATTTCAGACCATCTACTCCACATAGATTTTGGCATCCAAGTCCATCTTCAAGTAAATAAAAAGTAAAACAAATTATTGAAGCTGAACTGGAGAACTTAAAAAGTATGGAATTTGAATGGGATTACTGTGATATAATTTTATTCAGCCATTTTGCTCATGAAATCAATCACTGATTTAAAGGAGTGGGTTAAAGCTTGTAACTTGTAAGCCTTCATTAATTTGAAACCATTATCTTGTTAACAGTACCGGGTGCTATGCCTAACTGTACTGGAAAGACTTTTGTTCACTGTCTTCATTTTGCAAATTTGATCACTTGTTAGATAAGACTTATGGTATAAATGTATCGACACATTTTGACCAAACAACAAACACAAGTTTTTTCACTTTTTATTTATTAACAAATCAAAAATACACAAATTGAAGCATCTTCAATGGCAAAATTCAACAAAGAAATCATATTTGAGTAGAATCAATGTTGAAAGACTAAAAATATTAATACATTAGCAGGTCAGTAATTACAGTAAATCAATTTACAAAATATGTATCACAGAACAACTAAAACTACCAGCACTGTTTACTTCTTAACATTCAGTCTTGTATTACTTAACTTGAAAAAATGAAAAACTCTGAGTAACTAAGATATCTAATGAGAATGAATTTACTGAGCAACACAAGATCTGACTCGCTATCTTGTACCAAATGAACATAACTACATGTGACTCTTACATATTGACTACTACTATTTGAAATGAAAAAGAAAGTTTTTAGTAGCAGCTGAAACAACATGAAATACACCTACATATAAAACTGTGTAGAGAAAGCCAGCAAAAAAAAAGAAGAAAGTTCTCCTAAACCACTGCTGAAGAAAATACACCTAGGGGAAGAAAATCAAAATAATCTTTGTTCTAAAAATGAAAGCTACAAAACGTGGGTGAGTTATAAGCATGTATATGTGTTATGTTAAAAAAAGAATCAATTATACAAGTTAATTTCTGTTACAAGTAACTGGTGCTTTGAGATGTATGTATATATTGACTGTAAATAGTTCTTGAAATATGGTCTAACTTGTCACAGGCTATTTTTTAAGATTTGTGTCAAGATTTACCAGAAATATATATTTATAATATTGCTTAAGATATGAATCTGACTGATCTACTATGAATATCAAAATAATACAAAGTTGTACTTCATTTACCAAAATACTTTGAAAATACAACATTAATTTTTCAAATACATATGTCATCTCAGACTAACATAAATAAAAAACAGGGCAAGAAAGGCATTTGACAACTGAAATATTTACCAGAAGAAAGTTGTTTGTTAAATACATGTATCTATCAGTGAAGGACAACTACAAGTTGCATTGACCCAAGATTTTGTCTCTCCATAAATTATACTAAAGTTTGATTTTTAAATATGTACTTTGAGTGTATATTGTTGTACAGGATTATTATAAACTTCTTGCTTACAGAGTTACTGATGTTGTACTGTTATGGTAATCATATTTAATAGACATTGATAAACAAATAATTTATCTTTAATGTATCTTGATTTCTTTATTCTATTTGGATTTTTCTAAAAGAATGAAAGGAACCTTGAGTTCATTTTTCCTCAGTATAGTTATCATATCATTACAAGCGACACAGATATATTTGAGTAATGAAAACATGTTACTTATAATCTGGTCAACTGCAGTGAAATACCTTGTCACTTTGTGAAGGTCATCTTGAAGAAGACACCTAGCAACTTCTGAGCTGCTTAAGGAAGTTCAAATATTACAACATGTATTTAATACCAGGTTGATGAGATAGCAGAGTGTACACAACTGCAAAATTAAAGCCACGTTCAGATATTTGTGAAAAAATGTTGCAAATGTGTCTAAATCAATAAAATTCGCCATTATTTAAGTGGCTTTATCTGTAATGTGACCTTAGAATATTACATTTAATATAATTATTTTTCTGTATGTGATCTTAGGACATTACATATACATTACTGTTTATTTTTCTACATGACCATTATGTTAGGATAATACATATGATATCATGTTTCTTTTCCAGATGTGCAGAATTTTAGGATATTACATATAATATCATTATATTTCTTTTTCTGTAGGCGGCCTTAGGACATTACATATAATGTACTTTTTCTGTCATGTGACTTTATGACATTACTTATATCATTATGCTTATTTTTCTCTATGCAACCTTAGGCTATTACATGTAACATTATTTTTATTTCTCATATGTCTTATCTGCAGGTTCTACTTTTTGTCACTTGTTTGCCAGTAATATATATTGACTGACAAAATTTGGATGATGGATGCATTTGGTTTCTAGGAATTACAGTTTCAATTAAATGTTGAACATCGCTGATCAACTCTTAAAATAGTATAGTTTGAAATCCAGTAATATGTTTTATTAACCTCTTGGACCTGAGTTGTCCAAAAAAAAATTATAGGTAGCTCTTATACAGGGAAAAATTTCACTTGCTTCACCCAAGACTTTAAGAGTATAAATCCACAGGACAAACAGGGAGGAGAATATTTATTGAATATCATGGAGTAAAAACACCAGACCATGAAGTAATGTCTGTGGACCCTTTTTCAAGCAATTTTTTTTTGAGTATAAAAATTCAAGAACGAGTTGTTTATAATGCAAATATATTTTTTTTTAGTTTTTTTGTGATTTATAGCTATTTTTTAGCTTAATTTTAGGTTATGATTTGGCTGCTTGAGCTGCACTTCATTTGTTTACTTAATATTAATGTACCTACGTAATGGGTTAATTTATTTTATTGCATCCAGCTGCTTTTGATTTATTACACTTATATATATACCTATTGAAAAAAGGCTTCAGACTCGCTTCAGACCACTGACTGAAGAACAACCTGGAAAGAAGAAACAATCACAGATATATATTTTTGTGCATACTGTTTTACAACAATACCAGTTATGACAATTTTCTTTCATCAATCACTTGTAATTAATTCATAAGTGTTTTGTTTTACCGTTAGTTAGCTACATGACATTGAAAAAAATTAAATTCAACTGAATTGGTTCCAGAAAAAAAGAGAAGAAAAATAATGCCAAAACTGGACAATAATTTAAATGTTATTAGCCTTACCTAAATGTACACACAAAACATACACTTTCAAAAACTAAATATTACAAGCACTTTTTTTAAAGTAAGACTACAATGCACATGAACAATTTGATGCTTTGTTTAAAGACTAATAATGAACTAAGTTACATTACTCCTTAATGGCTCAATTATATATGTGAATTTAAATGCCACAAAAACCAGAAAATTATCACAATATTTTATTCACAAATCTTTTAATCCTTTCAATGCCATGGCTATATCATATTCCACTCTAGAGCACTAGAATGAGAGACATTTTGTACGACTATGATAAAAGTGTATTCCAGGGCTGCAGAATAGTTGTGCTGAATGATTTAGTCAAGACCCAAAGATTTTATTGTAGAGGTGACAGGAACACTCTCACATCCGCTATCCTCCACTCTAAATTTCAGTAAAGCTAGTTTGTTTACCATGAAATGTGTAGAATATAATTTTCAAAACAATGTCTTGCTCAAGTTTAAAGACAGTTCTGTCTGAGAACCTCACAAAGTAGACTAATAAACAAAAACAGTATATTACTTGAGATAATTCTGATGTCAGCATTACATGCACTGTAACAGGCAAGTTCTTTTTGTTTCCTGCTGTAGAGAAACCATGAGGCTGAAACATATGACTTTACATCCACTGGAGACTCGATTAAAATATGTTTGGGCTCAATTACACATAACATACAATCCTACTTATTTCCAAAAGGTTTGGAGCCCACATCTCAAAGTATTTAGACATTCTGCTACCATTAGGATATTCCCCCTTCAACTTTCTCAAAGTTTATCAGTTTCATGTTTCAGATAAATAATGAAATATTAAAACACGTCTTCCTGTTTTTTTATTCTTGTGTATCTAAAGATAATTCTGGCACTGGGATTATATTTATTTATTACCATGACAGTGAAAGAGTTAATGTGCATTTTATTTGAAACTGATAATTTATTTTTGTCACTGAAATCCAGATATAGACTAAAAAACCTTAAACTTCAATTAGTTATATTTGTAATATGTGGGAAATATATGAGCTTTAACAATTAAAAAGAAACTAATGAAACTGAGCTAATTACTCAAGAAAATTAAAATGATAAAACCTGGGCCAAAAACTTACTGCAGAAAGATAAAGTGACCTCCCCCATATATAAAAGCATTTTTTTAAATATGGAATCACTGCTAGCCATATACCAGAACAAAGAAAAGATGAAGAAAAAAAAGGGTGGTGGGTGGGGGGGGGGGGGGAGAACAAATAATAAAGCAAATCCTGCTTATGGAAAGTAAGAACTGTAGTAATACCAACTTATGATGATGAGAGATGAAAAGAAACAAAAACTCAAAAGTTCAAAGGAGTGCACAGCCACAGCCTTGATATCTGAAGTAACATCCCAAGCAAGTGGAAAAATAGATGGATCAATTACTATAACTGAAAGGAGTAAAAATGTTTCTGCAGAGTAATAATTCAATCAGACAAGTCTGAAAACAGAAGAAAGGGTAAATCTCAAAACCTGTGGTAGGAAAATAACATATTCTTGTCAAATATTAAAAAAACAAAAAACAGTACATTGAAAAGAAAACTGGCACAGAAGAAATTATTTACTACACTACAATGTGCATAAACCTTTCATCTTAGCAGTTAAACATAAATATAGGAGAAACATCACAAATGGATTGTTAGTAATTTTACTCCAAAAGATAATTTAGGTCTGACGACAAAGAGCCAGAGAACAGTCAGGTGTGAAGATGAAGATACTGCATGGCTACAAAGAAAGAAAAAAGGAGAAACAGTTGGGGTTGTTGCATAAGAATGCACAAAAATGAATAGAGAGCAGTTCATTAAATTGAAGTCAACAAATATTAAACCAAAACTGAAAAAAAAAAATAAACACTATAGTAACCACTAGGAGAAGAATATACTTAAATTTGTATAAGCAAATCAATCAATTATTCAATAGACTCAAGAAATTAAATAAAAAGAAGTAACGTTTTGAAAAGTTGAAGGTGCAAACTCACAGTTCTAGAACTAGAATAACGGTAAAAAGGAAGCAGGAGCATCAATAACACCAGTAAGAGGTTGTAACATAACATTAATACACAAGGGACCTTTTGGTCCATCTAGGCTGTCCAATCCACTAAATTGGAATTAAACTCTAATATAAAAAAAAAGGAAGAAAGAAAGAAAATATGTATATATGTGTGTGTGTGTGTGTGTGTTTTATCTTTTAAAATAAAAATATACCACAATAACACTTTCCTAAGTTCATGAACACAATGACGAGTTTTGAAATATGCATATTAAGAGTTATTTCAAATAAATTAGCCAGGATTTTTCAAAACCTTACAGTTTAATCCTAGAATTACTGGGGGATTCCATATGGAATCTATTGGTTTCCTAAACACGGTTTTCTAAACTATTTATGTACCAAATCATTTATGGGTCCATGGATTTATTAGTTTCAGGATCCTTAAAAACATACAATTCGCATCAAAAAAGTGCAAACTAAAAATACCATTAGCATCCCAATTAATCCCACTAATCACTGATGCAGTCCCCTATGCATTTTATATAGAAAATAAGTTATTTCCCACAACAGTTTCGGTCAAATGAGTGTTGTGACAGGCAAAAACATAAAAATTATATAACGTGATAAAATAGTATAACCTTAATGATATGGAAAAATACTGTAATAAAATCACCACCTCTATAACAATAGTCATTGTTAAAACAATTCCCTTATATAACAACAGAAATACTCTTACCACTGGAAACTTTACAACATTATAATGCAAGAAAGCAGAGAAAGAAGATGGCTAAGATGTCTTTTCTTTTAAACAATAAACTAAAATATTAAACATACTGTAATAACTGGAAAACTAAAGCAATGAGTGTACTAGATTTTACACAGCTAGACCTGAATAATTCCAGACACACATGAATAAAATTACAATAGATAAAACAAGAAACACTTACCCTACTTTTTTACCTGTATCACTACTGCTAAACAGAAAACATATTTGAAAGACTGCCTACACCCCATCCTGAATACATCTGAAAATTCTACTTATGACAAGAACTGAAAGACAGAAATACATAATTACATACCAAAATAATTAGAACACATTTAAACTACATCTCACTGCAAACATTAATAACTTTCACAAGAACTGATAAAATACTAGGGTTGCTTAGATAATGCAGTGTCTAAAGAACAATTGGAGTCCTGACTGGATGAATTGATATAAATATAGATTATTGATACATAAGAGACTATCTAATTATTTTACCTTTCTTGTTTTCTACTGTTTGAAGTCAAAATTATTCACAATCCCACACATCCTGGAAAAGGCTAAGAATGGGTGTTGGGCAGAACATACAAAAACTCCCAAAATATGGAATCCATAACGCCTGGAAAATAACCACAGCTGGCAAACATAATCCTGAAACTGAAGATACAATGACTCAATGAAGGTAAAAATAGCAAAAAAGTATTCAGAATTGTCCATACACTGGCCTATAAGGCATTGACTTAAGGGTACAGAGACTAGATGGCCAAAGACATAGTTAAATGACCAATGTGATGAGATTTTCATGCTTAATATCATCAAGAACATTATGATAAATAAAATGGATAAGCTGCAGAAGGCAATTTGTTAATATGGATGGTGTAATATCTGCTGGGCTGTCATTATTATTTAAAGCAAAAGGTTTTTAAAGAAATGAGGTGGTCTGAGGATTTTCTTCAACACAGGTCAATGGGAAGCACCCCTTATCAGAGGCTTAGGGAGGAAAAGCCTTCAACCATACTGAATTTTATGCATTTAAAGGGGGGGCTAAATCTTGTCTTTATAACAACATTAAAGTTAAGAAACTTGTTTCAAAATGAATTCATATGATTCTTTTCAATATTTCCCATACATATGAAATAAGAAATTATAAAAAAATGTCAGATGAGAAATTATGCAGCATGTTTAGATTACCAATAGAAAATCTGAGCATAGTGTCCTCTAAGAGTGCAAGCCCACTACACCACCCCTTGAATAAGGCTTTTCCAAGGGTTGGACAAAACAAAAAAATTTAACAAAAGAACATGCCTGGCCCAATTTCATTTATTTTAATGAATCTTACTAGCTCTATGCAAGGTAGAATTTAATAATTGTGTACAATATTTTACGTAAAACAATTAGCTCATTATCTACACACACACACACACTTTTTTTTTCTGCTGTTGTAGAATACCCAGTGATCTTACAATGCAAGTAGTCAATCATGGAAAACCTGCATTTTATGAAGTTCAGAGGGGATCTAGAGATACAATTTCTTTGGGAATCATCTTTTTTTACTATTTTATAGGGACTTACTGCATTTTATTATCCTTTTACTAGAATATTCAGGTAAGGAAAAAATTAGAAATTCTAATTAATTATCTGCACTGTCAATCACACGTTTCACTCAATCCAGAGCTCATCAGGCCAGCTGGGACACAACAAACACAGTATGGATATAGCAAACAGTGCAGTTGAAATATTTTTATACAATCTTCTAATCTTGAAAATCCCTAAGGGACTAGAGAAAGAATGCAGTGTTAAGAAAATATAATAGGCCTAATTCTAATGTCTCATGACAAGTATAATTAATTATAATCATTCTTCACCAGTTTGGAAAAAGCATTCACACCATAACAACCAGAAATTCTCTTCATAATTTTATATTTGTTCAATTGCAGATGAAATATTTAACAGCACATTTCTGAATTGAAAATTTAACAAAATATTTTATCTTTCTTTGCAAGTAGTGATTGGTATTTTTGACAATTTACTTCAAATATTTCAGAAAATCATGGAGAAACCCTATAGTGTCAATTTCAAACTTTTTTTTTAATTATGCCAGAAAAACTTACATAACACCTGCACACACACACACACAAAATTGTTTTAAATCTACTCCATATTAAAGAATAAATATAACACTAGAAGTGAGAGGGGAAACAAATTGATCAATATCCCATCCATTGACAGAATGAGTGTTAAACTTTACACAAGCTAAAAACCAATATTATTACTAACTTACATCACAAGCAAATCAGAATGATTGTACTTAAATGCAAATTAGTGACTAAGTTATTAATTGTATAAGTCTAGTGATTGCTTTGCAAAAAGTAGCCAGGCCCAGATGTTTACTTTAACTGGGAAAATCTCTGGCCCCAAGGCATTTTGACAACACTGTATCTGTGGTATAAGAATTGTCATAAGGTATAAATAAAGATCGTTTATTCCTTCAAAAAAGGTTCTATTTCTTGCAATATAGGAACAAATAGCATTGACTAGACATATAAAACATTTTTCAGAATGAGAATCAGGTTGAGTCAGAATAGGTAACACAATAAGGGAAAAAAACAGTGGTGATCATCTCTTGCAGCACAAATATCTGGAAGGAAACTCTATTAGGATATAAGTACAATCTTCTTTGAAAAAAAAAGAAAACATCAACGAAAAACACCAATGGTAAAAATGTCTGAAAATTAGTAATAAAATAAAAGGTGTCTTCAGGAAAAGAAGGAAAAATGAACATGTTACAAAGGGTTCAAAAGGAGAAGTTAGGCAACTGAAGACTAGGCTTACATCCCACTGAGGACAATGTATAAGTACTTATGCCAGACATAACCAAAATGATTTAAAAAATAATTCCAAAAAAGAGGGGCCAGCAGAGGCACATCATTTTTGTGGCAACTGAAAGTGGAGCTCTTTAGCCTGAAATAAAAGCACAAAAACTCATATAACAAAAAAGGTACATGAAAATAAAAATGAGCTAAGTGTTGAGGAGATGGAGAAAGACAAGAAATCATATTCTGCAAATATCCAGACCTAAAGATAGGTCAATGAGATTGATTTATTACCAAGAAGGTACATATGCAAGAATGATGATATTCAAACCACCAGAAGAGATGCAGCTTCACTAACAAAGAACTGTATGACAGCCAGTTGTACAGTTGTAAATGACAACTGCTATTGTGGAAAATGTACCTAACAATTAATGAAATAGCTCCCTCCCATCCCCTGATATAGATGAGAGGAGTGGAAACCATGATGGAGCAGAGCAGTATTGGCAATAACAAGAAGAACTAGACAATGAGACCAACTGATTTTGGTCCACATCTGACGACATGCTATCACAATCAAATTGTATGGGAGTACTAAAACATAACAGTGGTGTAACAGGGCAGGAACACCAAATATTCATGCTGAATGTCCTAAAGCTCCATCAGAAAGATGTGAGAAAGAGATATTTGAGAAGGTCACAGACCTGAAAGATGAGGTTCGCCAACACATCTCCCAGGCCCTGGAGATCGAGAGGCATGGGTGAATATATCCAGATCTGGATAAGGTGTAAGAAATGGAGAAATTACTATTGGAAACTCATGAGCGAGCCACACTTAAAAGTAATCAACAGTAGCAGGAGAAAGTACAATAGACAGGTCTGAGGATAGTCTCCATGAAGGACAAGATAATAGTGACAGTGACTAAAGTTAGCATGATTGATGGTAATTTCCACATACAAAAGAAGCTAGCCATCATTTCCAAATCAGAGGAGTTGAGGGATTGTAAAGCCAAAGGAGGTGGGTAGAATTCCTGGGAGAATGTTATGCAAAATCTTAGATGAATGAGTTACTGAAGGTACAAGCTAAGACATGACTCAAGAACAATTTATCCCAGAGAAGATGCTAACTGGGAGGTCAGTTCAGTGTGAGGCAACCACTGAGCAAGAATCCTCTAATCATTCATATTAATGTCTACAATTGATATTGAGTGTGTAGAAGACCAGTTAATGGTCTCACTACACATGTTAAGACATATTGTACTGAAGACAGACCAATAAGGGAAGAAGGACCACAAACTGATAAGCAACCCCAAAACTTTCACCACAATGAGAAAACTAAATATATATGGATGAGAAAATGGGTGAGTATGGATGTGTAAATATGGTTTTTGAAATCTCCATTACTTATCTAAAAACCTTGATGAAAGTACTTTACCAATTTCTCATAGGTTTCACATAAAAAGCAAAAATATCTTGCTAACACACCAGACAAGAATAATCTAAGACCAGTAAAAACCCAGAAGAAACATGAAGAATAACACTGACACCCCCTTGTTGTGGAAACGATCTGAAACTTCCAGATCCAAAATCAAATAAAAACTGAAAATTGGGTAATGAATGTAACCTATACTCAAGCGAGTGTGTTACGTCACGTCACACTTGATTTCTCGAAATAGGAGGAGTCATAAAAGCCAAAATGCATTTATCCAGGTTAATAGTTCGATTATTG